CGCGGCGTGGAAACAGCGGCGGGCAGCGGGGCCGGATCCGCGGCGGGGCGGCGTGGAAACAGCAGCGAGGGGCGGGGCGGCGCCGGATCTGATGCAGGCGGCGTGCGGCGGGGCAGCGGCGGGGTGTGAAGGCGGCGGGGCGACGACGGACGAGAGGTCACGGGCAGGCGAGCGGGAACAGAAATGAAATGGCGGTTGGGCGTTCGCGGGCGGCGGCTGGTTTTGAACCAGATGCATCTCGTGATGTCGCGAGGTGTTGCATTTTACATCACGAGAAGACCACGGTCCAAATTTTTTTACATATGGACTGTCTAGCAGCGTTTTTTGCCCCAAATGGTCCAAAAGTTAGTTATTTTTACATTTGGACCATTTATTGGAGATGCTATTACATCTTACAGATTGACGCAAAAAAAAGTGCTGAGTAATGACGGTACATGGCAAAAAAAAGTGCTGAGTAATGACGGTACATGCCATGGCTCAGTTAAAGCTGGATCTAACGCGCTTTATGCGTTCAAGCGAGCCAACAGCCCAAGCTCGTTTAAGGCTCGAGCAAGTGCTCATAGCATCTCCAACAAGTTGGTAAATCCGTTCGCTATCCCAAAAAGGAGAAAAGATTTAAAACGGTGCTCCAACAGATTTGATTTATGATTTGTCATGCCTCCTTTTTAGATCATGGCTTAACCTCGGAGGTAACCCCGGCTCCTCCGCCAAGACATCTCGCGACTCATCATGCCCGACCTTCCTACCTTAGCACTACCGCTGCACTGCCATCAGTGTTTAACAGAATGCAACACTACGTCAACTCGCCTGAATCTGAGAAGGACCATGGAAGAACAAATCGGTAGTGTGGTGTTTAGCCGCCGAATCGATGGCTTAGTAGAGATTTCACCCTCCAACAAGAATGATGCTCGTTTATCTCGTGTTTGCTTTATTAGAAAAGTCTATTTTGGATTAGTTAAGAAGTATCTATATTGTATCAAGTTTACAACCATCTAAGTTGGGTTATAATTGAGCTTATGTCATGTTTGTGTCATTTAGAACTACTATGTTCAATTTGGACGAATTTCAAATATTATCTGTAAAATTATGTAATGCATGACCATAATGTTTAAATCATTTTATTTGATGAAAAATACAAATTGTTTCAAGTGGAAAAGCACCGTACAAAGAGAGATAGAAGGAAGCTAAGCTTTATGTAAGGCTAGATGTTCAAGAAGATAATAAAAAAGATTTTCCACTAATTCTCTCCGATATCTAGAATTCTTTTTTGGTCACCATATTCACCTAACTTGCAGATGCTCTTACAATTCACAACACAATAATCCCTAGCTACAAAGTCTGACAAATAACTCCAAAGGAGTTCATAGCCGAATTTTTAGCAGTACAACAAAGATACCAGGAAGGAAAAAAAACTAGTGGTCGTAACAATGCTACATAAACAAATTTGTACGTAATACATCAGATGATAAAACAAGGGGGCACAACATTATTTTTAGCCAGGGATGGTGATATTCGAGAGCATTGCATTTACCAACACTAGAAGTGTTTTTCAGGCTTTCAGCGCATTCACTATGAATACCCAGTAGGGTGCTAAATACTTCAAAAGTTGTAGCACAAGATATGATAAATTTAGGGAAGTGGTCGCAACACATACCACTTAGACACTAAAAGCAAAGCATGCTCCTTGGTTGCGCTAAGTTTTGAAATTATCCATAAATATAATTTGCAGAACTACCACAAAACGTTATGTGGTCGTCCACAAAACATTAAGTTGTAAATGTATTGTAGCCTTATGACAATTGCAAATGAAAGTCCAGTAGGAGGGTTTCCAACTGGACTTTTATTCGCAATTTTAAGGTTTTCTGATTTCGTACACAACAAAAGAGACATATTTTCACGAATATTGGGTCATTTCCAAACTGAACGAAATGCATGTCATTTGTATATTTTTTAATATGGGACACAAATATTACAAAATAACAGAAAACCATTGCATCAAACGTACAACTATGAAAGTATAGTGTGTAGTTGATCGCCATAATTTTATGTGATGATACTAAATAGTGGGAAATTTAAGGCAACAAAGAGTTGCACATAAATAGCCGTTGAACCTATTTAAATAAGTTGTTATCAAACTCACATGCAGATGCAAGTGCAAGTCAAACAAAGTTCAACTATACTTTACAACAACTTGGTTTGAGGGTTGGGGCTATTAGAATTGTTGTCGAATTTTGCCCCACTTAAGCAAGTTTGAACTTTGTGGCTAGGCATATGATGCACAACCACAATAGTGGCTTGCCGTGCTTCCTTAGAACCCATCTTAACTTCTATAAAGTTAATTTTCTAGACAAAACATACCACATAAGTAGGACTTGTTGGATACTAATAACAACCCCATAAAACACACAGGTGATTTCAGATGCTTGCCAAAACAAGCACTAAACTCATAAAGGTAATCTCTATAACAAACTTCTGTGTCTATGCGATCAGCTAGTCCAAGCCAAGTTTTACAAGTACACTAAGGTGCAATTTTCATGCAATATCATGTCATGTCCTACAACTACAAAGATCTAAAAGCACAACACACATCAAATAGCATTTGTTTAAGAAATTGAGAAATTGAGACAGGCATGATCAGTTTATATATCTTGGCCACAAATCTGTGGAAAATGTAAAACACTTCGTAAGAAAAGCTCAATGCATATCTATCCTTACCGCCTTCAGGAAAGCATGCAAGTATGATCGTATGAACATGGAGCCCTCGCATGGAATTTCTTAAACTTGTCAATTTCTGCTTAGCAAACAGACAACAACAAAAACATATCATTCAATATTCACATTGGATGAAGCACATCCAGAAAAGGCTATTGCCAAGGAAACTTATTGTATGCCAATAGTTGACCATCATATCAAAAACTTAAAATGATACTACTAAGGGCGCCTAGTGTCCATAAGTTATAATAAAATGACGTTCTCCACCCATAGTTATGATAGTCAGACCAAGAACATGTCTCGCTATTTTTAAGAACTGGGCAATTATCTACAAATAACTGTTCTTGTATTTGTATCAACAATTCTACATATAACCAAGCTAGCTAGCTGAATATACCTCAAAACCAAGTATAAGGATTTCGCCTTTGTTTTCTTTTTAGCCTTTGAGCTGCAATGCCCACAAATGTTAGGCGTGAATCCTTTCAATTAGACCACCCCCAACGTGCATTCATGTTAATACCCGGTATCTGTATTATGTCACATGTCTGCTAATTACGGAATTTGCATGCCAACCAATCAACGAAGTGACATGGCGAATTCAACACTTCAATTATTAATGTAGCAGGCTCTCCAATAAGTGATTACCAATTAGCAAATTGCTAATATATCTCACGAATAAAAAATGATACCTATAGTTAGGATCAATGTTCCAAAAAATAATCAGTAGTACACGAATAATCACCCCACCATTTAGTGTTTACAAGATAAACAATACAAGTCGGATAATTATATTCATACTTATATAATGAAAAATAAGCATCTAAAAGATCATTCATCTAAAATCTAAAAATTCAACTCCCAACAATCGGTCATGGAAGCAGCATAAAGGGGGAAATTGGCTATTCTATGCTTGTTAAATGTTTTAACCTAAGATGTTTCATGCTATAATCTGTGGTCGACTGGGGGTACACATATTTCTACTAAACAACGCCCTACACCATATTCAATATCTATATAAGCTGTCATTTCTACCAGCCTGGCCTTCAAATGCGTTTTCACAATGGCCTTTATTTGGAGCAGTGCCTATAATCTTAGGGTTCATTTCAATAGAAGGTGATGGTATCTTCTAGAATTTAACATAAGCAAACTGGTGACAATTTTACATACCAGGAGTGCCCTAAAAGATTATAAAATATACCAGAAGTCTTATGTTTCTACAAAATACAGTATTACCTTTTAGCATTTGTGTAACAATTCTACGTGATATTTAGGCCCCAGTAAGAACGACAAAACTCATGTCTACCTAGTGGATATACATGGAAGTCAAGTACGCCTTCCATTTCAAAATACAAGGCCAACAGTGTTCTGCAATATCCTTTCAAAATACGAGGGATTCATGTAGGGATGACTTCACATCTATGGCTATGAAATATTTTCTCATATTTTCAAGACAATAACACCATGGCTAACATGGTCATTTCCTCTACTATTAATTGCTTCCTAAATCTCATGCTAGACCAGCATGCACCTTACAAAATGAAATGGAGATAGTACATTATTATCAACTACTATCACACATGCAAAACTGGAAGGCTGCACGCTCAGA